GTCAGCTAAATTTGCATGTGAAGAGATCCAGTAGGTTTCCCATCTGCTTGTCTAGGGACCATGAGAGAGAAAAGAGACTGCTAGGCTTCTGCTTCTTAAGGCAGAATCCCATACATAAAAGAGGAGACCCGAAGTCCATAGGTGCCTCTTTGTTTGACATTACAAAACCTAGATAGACATCTCTATCTGAGAACCTTAGAGTGATGCCCAACATCACTTTACCACAGATCACAGAAGAAAGCACCCCCTCGAGGGGCCTTCATCTCCCACATTTGGACCCATTAACTCATTAGGGAAAAGGGGGCTGGGCCATCTATTGGCCTCACCTAGTCCAAGCCCATGAGGTAATGGGTTCCTTTAACCACCTCATGGGACCTCTTGATGGTCCCATTTGTACTCAGAAACCATATGGGAAAAAAATCTCTAGCACTTACTCACCAAATGCAAGAGACCAGGCTTATTTATCAAAATTTAGCAAAACGCAGCAAACCCATGGCCAATAAGGCATACCTGTGGAGGGAACATAACTGGCTAAAAAGATAAAACAAAAACCTATATTCCCTTCCCCCATCCCCAGGGCTAGAAAAGCAACCAACAATTCCCCAGGTACCTTGAGAACAGTCACCACCTCCCCTGCCTAGAGAAAGTGAAGGAAAGGAGAGAAGAAAAAAAAAAAATGGGGAGGTGGGGTACAAAATCTTTTCCTGACATGGCCCTTCCTTGGTCTCCAGTACCTTATTCTCATACCTGGCCACAGCAAGCAGAATGTTCTTTTTTGGTTGGCGACGCCTAAGTGTACCCTACTGGTTGGCTCAGCCAACAGTTATAGGCTAGTTTCTTTAGAAATGGCTCAGCAATTGAAACTATTCCAGGTGGTTCTTGCCTCAAAAAATTGGACAACATAAGCCAAGAATGGTGTCAAAAATTTATTTAAAAAGTACAGGATGAATGAGTATGGGACAAACCAGTTCTACAGAGCAAACTTTGGCTGAAGAGGAAAAGAAAATAAAAGCAAAAATGAAATTATGCACTGTATTCAGACGCAATGTGGAGTACCATGCAAACTGGTAATAGAGCTTTCTCGCTCTTTTTTATGCCATCCACATCTCTCCGGAAGTTCCACATTTAGGGTCTTCACATTGCTCTGGGATCTTGTGATTGACAGGTCCCATGCATTTCCCTCACTAGCTCTGCCATGCCATGTCTCCCAAAACATACCAGTGTAACTCAAACCTCGTAAGCCAGGTATTCTCAAGCACTTTACATCGCCTCTGAAGGTTTACAACACAGACATAGAGTCCAACACATTCCCACCAAGTTAGAACCTCTAGGAATGGAGTCTAGGAATCCAAGTGTTGACAGAGCATTGCAGGTGACTGTCACATAACCAGGGTTAAGAACCTCTTTCTTGATCAGGCATTGTATTGTGTCCTCATGATTGTATGACTAAGAATTACATATGTCTTGCCCTGCCATGGGGTCTAAACTCTTCAAAGCCTGGTTTTATTCAGTTCACTGTATTGGTCATTTTCCTGCCACCAAGCAAAATCAAACACAATGTATTTTAGAAACTGAAAAACCAAGAATGCATCTTCTGTTAACTTTACTAAGAAAACAAAGAACATCTTTACAGAGTATAGCAAGTAGTTACTTGTATCCATGGATCCCACACCCAAGCATTCAACCACGATGGAAAATCTTTAAGAAAAAAAATGTTTATACTGAACATGTACAGACTTTCTCATGTTCCTATGCCCTAAATAATATGGCTATTTACATACAATTTACATTGTATTAGAAATTACAAGTAATCTAGTGATGGTTTAAAGTATACAGGAGGATGTACACATATAAACACTGTACAAGTTTATAAGGGACTACAGTATCCACTGATGTTGGTATCCTCAGGAGTCGTGGAACCCAGGGCTCATAACTACTGAAGGTCGACTGTACTGAACTCTCCTTGTACTAGATGTTTGATCTCTGATACTGACATGGAAATTTAGCAGCTCTTTTAGGTCCCTTGGTATCATGCTTGTCTGGCTATTAAATGTCTGAAGTAAAAATTAACCAGGCTCTATAAGAAATAATCTTTTTTTTTCCATTCCCAACTCTTTTTTTCCCCCTTCTCAGTTCTTAAAAGCAGCTACAGAATGAACAACTCAACTACCTACATGTTTGAATATATATTGCCAAATATGTTTCTAAAAATTTGAGCATAACTTGTCACATGAATGAGGCAGCTCTGTTGGCATTATGAAATAAATTTGGGACAATACATTAGATTAACCTAAAAGTGAAGTATGGGATCTTAAAGATTTTGCTTTCTTTTCTTCAGCCTCACCTTCCTTCATATCATCTGATTATTCTCTGACATTTCTTGACAACCATTTTGTTACAACATTTGGTAATTTTCCTGATTTTTCAAACTTTTCTTGGTTTTGCTATTTCTTAAAGACTTTTCAAAGCTGAACTTCTGATTGCAAATGAAATCTTTCTGAAGGTTCATAATATAGTTGACCTAAGGTAAAATTGGCATCTGGTATATATTTCTAATGTTTTAAAGTTTTATTCACTATAAATATACATATAAAAAAGTCAAAATGGCACCCAGAGGACACCTAGAAGCCAGCCCAGACTGTTTGCCGTTTACTGCAAAGTGAGGTGACTTTGTACAAGGAACGAACTTTCCAGAGCCTCTTTTCTCACCTAAAAAATGAAAGAGGCTGGGGAGGGAAGCTCAGATTTCCTACAAACATGAAGTGTTATGATCTTTTAAAATAATGAGGCATGTCTTAGATCTTTGACCAACACTAATTTGGGCTGTATTTTTATTAGTTAATGATATTAAAGACAAATAGATATTATTTAAGAATTATAAAGTTCTTTACTATTTTACCTCCTGACTGTAGAACAGCCATTGTTATCTCCATTTCATAGAAAATGAAATTGAGACACAGGGTGAGTGACTTGCCTGGGTTAACAGAATCAGAAGACTGCAAGTCTAAACCCCTACTGGACCCTACTTTGACCCCCTCTGATACCACAAAGGCCGCAGGCAAAATTAGAGACCAGGGACCAGGCAAACCTAATGTGCCGCCAACTCCCCCACATCTGCCTTCCCCAAATGTTCTGTAGTCCAAATGCCTTTTAAATTGCTTTAGAAGAGAAGATGAAATGGGGATGTATTTAGCATATCATTTCTGGGTATGTGTTTTCCCGAGCATTTATAGATCTATGTTTTTCCAAGAAGCTGAGTTTTCCTGATAAAACAAGACATATCATGATAAATGAGCAGCTATGTAAGCCTAGCTGGGAGGAGGACCAGAGACTATAACACCCCTCCTGTGAAGTTAATCCTGTTTCTGTTAGCTATTTCTTTATTAGTTAATGAGGTCTTGCAAAAAAAAAAAAAAAAGTGTTTCTGTGATGGTGTTTTAGCATCCTTGCCTCTAGGAACATTTTCAAATATTCATAAAGTAGCTCATCTGACCAAAGCTTAAAGCAAAGGTGCATTAAGTATGAATTTAGTCAACTTCAAATGTGGGTGGTCAAAAGCTACTGCTGAAATAACCTAAATAAGCCTCATCACTGGTGTTTCCAGAGCCACAGCTCTGGGCACCAATGTGAAGGGTGACAGGGAAGAGGTGTTATTTAGAACAGCGAGAATTCCGAAGGGCAGCCCTGTAAGCTTTGATCCTGCTTTCTGACTGACAGTAGTATGACTTGCTTTTGGAGGGCAGAATAACTTAAGAGAAGCAAAATAAAATGGAAAAGGAATTGCCAGTGGAGCCCCTGGGAAGGAGAGCAGACACAAGATCATCTTGTTTCTGGATGATAAGGGGCGAAGGACCTCCTCTCATTTTGGTTTCTTATGGCACAGAAGGAAGGGAGGCTCTCAGTAGATGGCATGATATTCAGGGATGCATTTGGACAGCAAGGCAAATGTGGAAATTCAGCTGCTAAACTGTGTTCCACAGTACAGCGAACCCCAGTGACTACCTGAGCCCCACCCTGCCCTGGTTTGGGAGGATGCTTCAGCAAGGTGCTCTGAACACAGCTAGTATTTACACGCACTGACCCATTTGCGCTCACACAGAGCTGTCTCCATGCCCTTGTGCACACACATCTCAAAGCACAATGACACAAATTCTTCGTATTTTTCACCCTTTTTATAATTTTGTTTTCCCCAAAAACAGCATTTCAGGAAGTTGATGCTATGGCTCTCCTATGTGCAAAAGTTTGGTGGTTGTAGGTGACCTGGAATATACTAGGTAAATTTTGGTTAAGTATGAAAAAAATTATAGCCTGATATTTTCCATCCAGTTTCTGGGCAAGTACCTCAGAGCTGCCAGTGCAAGTCTTCCTGACTTTACTATAATAGGAGTTCAAGGAATAAATTGTAAGCCAAAGTCCTGTGACCATTGATCCCACAGAACCTACAATAAACCCTGTATTCCTGGTAACTCAGTGTGGTCCAACATGAAAGCTCTGTTCTAAAAAAAAAAAAAAAGATGTCATAGCCCCAGAGTCTCTCATTCCTTAGAGTCTCTGGCCTTTTGCAGTACCAACCCCTAAACAAAGCCACACTTTGGAAAGGAGTGGCCTTTTCCATATAAACTGGAAAAGATACAAACATCTTCTAGCAGTGAGAGTTAATAATGCAAGTGTTTACTTCTGCAGCTCCGGTCCCAAATTTTTCGTCATTTTATCTGATTTTAGAACTTCCTCAAATGTAAGTGGGAAGGAAAGTCCTAAGAAAAAAGAAAAGCAATAGCACTATAGTGATGCTACCTTGAGAAATTTTCAGGATGTGTTTTTATTTCTCTCTTGTCTCTTGCCATGAGGACACTGAGGATACGTTGGCAGCCCTTATGACTATAAAAGATACCAGCTAATACTGGTTGTTCCAGATATGATTTTGCATTTCTCAGAAGAAATAATGGTTACATCTTGGATGTAAATTTCACTGGTGTCCTGTGCTTAATGTTCTTTTGCAGGTGATTCACATAACAGGCCGGCTACGCCTGAGAGTATCGCTGTCCCACGGGAGGACCGTCCCCAGCCAAATCATGGGTCTTGTGGTGGTGGCTCATGCCTTGCCTCCTCCTACGATCAATGAAGTCAGAATTGACTGCCATATGTTCGTCACTCGAGTAAATATGGACCTCAATATCATTTACTGTGAAAATAGGTACTTCGTTTTTGTTTTCGTTTGCCCTGTTGCACGCTGCACTTTGTGAGGGTTTGTGTTTCTGGCAGTCTGAAAGATTTTACTTCTTCAGTGAGGCTCATTATAAATCCTGATCTCATTTTTAATGGCTGCTTGGACTAACACCAAACATCTTATTTAAAATTGACATTGCTTCCCTGATTTACATGAGAGACAACAGTCGCCTGGGTTGGAATACCCAGACATCATGTGCTGTAAGGAAGGCACATTGTGGGTGAGAACCCAAGGAAAGAACAGAACTGAGACATTATTGGCAAAATGATGCAGTAAAAGGTGTCTCTTCTGATGCCTCTGCACAACCTACTTTGATTAATTTCAAGAATGGGCATCACAATAGTCACTGTTCATGAAGACATTAAGCCCAGAGTGAATAAATGACAATTTGAGCCCCTCAAAGGTGAAAAGGGAATTTGCAACACTATTAAGTAAAACTGTATCACCTTAAGGATTTTATTTTTATAAATTAAGAAAGATGACTCATCATATAAATTAATTGGCAGTTCTTCCTTAAGTCTGAGCTTTTATAAAAGGACATTTTAGCCTCCGGATAAAAAGTTCACTTTTTCCATTAAGCACAAAGCAAGGGACAAAGAACTGGGACAGTGTGGGACAGTGCCCTTTTAGACCTCTCACCTACAAGTCATCAGCCCATCATCAGACCAATTTGAAGAGAGAATCACAGGGCATGGGGGCTGAGGGAAAGAGGCTCACAGATCAGCCTGGGAAGGCAGCCTGGTGATACTATCCATCCACTGGGGCCACAGGGAGAATTACTGAGTCTGTTTTGGGAGGATGCTTTTATAGCACAGATTATTGTCAGGCTTGAAGGCAATATGTGTTCAGCCAGCCCCGTGAGTGCCTTCGTGCCTTCAGAGGGGAAATGAAAGAGCAGAATGGACAAGTGGCTGGAGTAATTGACCTCTCCAGAGGCCAGCCAAGAGCAAGTTGGACAGCTCCTGCATTCAGTCCAAGAAGCAATGAAGAGGTAGAGATCAAATTAGAAAATGCCTGCCACTCCCAGCCAGGGTCTGACACAAAGGAAGGATATCACCAGTGGAAAAAGATACCCACCTACCATTTGAGTCCAATAAGATAAAAAATCTCATGAGCTTGTCACTATTATTTCATAAATAACTCTCAATCTGTTCTTCAAGTTTGGCTGGCATTTGTTAAAATTTCTGTCATCATGACTATATACTTGAGTTTGTCTAAAATATTCTGAAATGGCCATAAAATATTAAGAAAGACAAGTTAGCCAGAATGATTAACTGGTTGGCAGGAAATAATAAAAAGAACTTCCTTTTAATAAATATATACTACATACTCAGTCATATGCAAATCTGATCATCTCCACCATTTCATTTAAGCTTCACTACAGTTCTATAAGGTACTGTGGCTACTATCTTGATCACTTATGAGCAGTTTTGGCTTAGAGAGAAAGGATTTCTTGCCCTTGGCCAAGAGTTAAACTCAAGGCTGTAAGCCACAAAAGCTCTCGCTTTTAAATACATACTGTGGGAGTCTCCTTGGTCTTATTTTTCTTCCAAGGTCAAGCTATCTGGGCATGGACCAGTCAGAATAACATCTGAGAGGGGCTTTTCATCCATATGCATTATGAAAGAACATGATTGCTACCCACAAAGCTGCTTAATTTCTGATTAAAAATTTAGAATACTGTAAGTAGAGACCCAACCACAGGAGGCAGAGACAAGCCAAAGAATGAACATAGCTTACTTCATTCAGATTCACCGTTATCCCCTCCCAAAAATGGGGCTTTGGCTTATGTATCAAACTTTCAATGATTGTCCTATCTAAAACATCATCTCATTTTCACTCCTGTTATCAGTTGATTAATTCTTTTGACAAGCTCCATGGACCTGAGTGCCTCATGGTACCAATTTACTAATTGAGATCATTTTCTGTAACTCACTTTTAGGTCTTTTCCCTTCACATTAAAAAAACAGCTTTCTATAACCTCCATTAGCCAATACAATACAGCATTACTTCCTAACTGAAGACAGTAATTATGAAAAAGACCTGTATTAAAGGTAATTGCATATTTGATCTACAGAAAAAAGCATACCTGTGCCACCACAATGTTATGCTAATTTCGTTTCATTCATCAATCCCGTCACCAACCTCTGAGGTTGCTTTACAGAGGAGGAAACTGAGGATCAGAATAAAAGACAGATTTCTCAGAATTGTAGTTTGCTGTATGCTGTATATGTTTTAAGAAATCCTTGATGGCTGAGCTGGTCACATTCACCACTGTAAGAGGTTCTAGTACATAGAAAGGGCTTCAATCATTTTGAATGATTTAATTCAAATAAAGAATAAAGAAATACTTTCCCTAAAGAATGGAGTGGCTTTTTCCAGGGGTTTATTATTTAATTAGAGGACTGTTAACTAGAAACTGAAGCTGGCTCCTCGAGCTGCAGACCATTCTTCCACGCATTCCTGAGGACGGCCTCAGGCTAAGCCGACATCTAATGCTTTCAGAGGAGCTGGCAAATTTCAGAAACACCAAGGAGGGTCTTTTAATGACACCCTTGTTCCCACATTTGCAGAAAAGGGATGTAAGCTGCACTTGGAAAAACAGGCTAATGGTTTTAGGAAAACACCAGCTAATCTGTTTTGTACCACAAAACCATGGAATGCTTAAGACAAACCCTCCTTTTCATCTCCCCAACTACATTTTTACCACTAAGAATCCTAATTTGTCCAAAAATATCATTAACTTACTAGTCATTGAGAAATTCACTTACCAAATAGGACAATTAGTAATATTCCATAGTATTTTGGTTTTGTTTTTCTTTCTTATTTCCATGCCTTGTGAGATCTTTAAATTTAGGGAGAGGGGTGATTTTTCAATTGTTTATGTGTGCTAGATATAAATTCTTTGTCTGAAGGACAATTTTGGCCAGTTGCCTTGTGGGGATAGGGTAACTTCCCAACCATAATCTCAGTTATTACTTAAACATATCACTTCCAAAGATTCACTTCATATTTGAATGTTTATGTCATTCACATGTCATAAATCATTAAGAAAAAAACCCACAGGGACAGTAAAAAGACTAAATTAAACAAAAAATTTTGTTTGGACTGACCAAAATGAATCTGTACTTGATGATACAGAATGTAATAATGTTTGTGTACACCAGGCAGATTCCCCTACTGTTTGTCCATTTGGGGCTCCATTTTTCTGTGCTCTGCCTGAGGACAGTGATGTCTGGACAGTCAGTGACAGGGACCTACACACACACACACACACACACACACACACACACACACACACACACTGTGGAGCACAGCCCGGAAGAGCTGCTGCAATGGTTTAAAAGTTTCTGTGAGGAATTCACCACAAAGTACCAGTTAAAAGAGCCAGGAGTGAAAGCTGAGCTCCCAAATGACTAAGACTAAAAAAGATAATACCCCCAGGCATCTGTATGTCTCAGCATTTAAATTATATCCCTTGAAATGCCAATTTGGACTTTATGCCAAGAAGCAGTTGAAACCCTTTTTCATGGAAATACCCAATAGAAGGTCAATCTGTTTAAATGAAAGGTGTCTCTAATCATTTGGTATAAACATAACATGTTTTTATTTTATTATGTAACCTTGAATTATCTTGGCCTGTAATGAGGATCTTGCATTGTTACTGGTTCTCAAAAATTTCATGGAATTATGTTGTCTAAATGTGCATTCTAATGCCAAAGAAGGAAAAAAGAATAACCTTATCTAATTATTTAAACATAACTGCTCTATCCAGCACATTTCCTAGTTTTGAAAAACCCTGTGCCGTAACCTCCTGGGTATCTAGCATGATGAAAATGTGTCAGTAGATCAGTATCAAGAGTTATTTGACAGTCTCTCTCTCCATTTTCCTCCTGAGTTCCAGCCTGTGTTCTTCTCTTTGTAGAATTAGTGATTACATGGATTTGACCCCTGTAGACATCGTAGGGAAAAGATGCTACCACTTCATCCATGCCGAAGATGTAGAGGGGATCAGGCATAGTCACCTGGACCGTAAGTACCCCCGTGTTGGGAAGTAACTCTAGCGGGTGTCCTCTCTCCCTGACCCTTGTGTGGCTTTAGTGCTGATTTTTTCCTTCATCTCTCATGGATACATGTGAGAGGACTGGCAGCATGCAGTGAGAAGAAGTGAGATATAAATCACTCCAACTTGTGCTGACGTTAGATTGGAAGTTGGACCTCGGGCCCAGAGAAATTGCTGGATCTTTAAGCACTCACCCAGAATTTCATGGTGTCTCATGCTCTTTCTCCCATAAAGTGGTGAGGGAACCTCTGTCAAAAGGGCTTCCTTGACCCTTTCATTTTCTAGAGAGCAAATTCCATTTTGAAATTTGTGGTCTTCATTTCAAAGTACAGGTGGAAGAAGGCAAGTCACACAGGCGACAGCCTTATAAAACTGACTATCTGACTAGCCACAAAACCAGAGTGAGGGGAAAGCCTAGGGTTAGGAGCAGAGCACAGGGTGTGAACACAGCAGTTCTTTTCAGAATATTTCTGGAAAAACAGTTATTCAGAAGAGCAGGTACCTCTATTCTCCATGTGCTGTGATAAAGGAAAAAATCTCCACGCTGAGTCTAGCTCCTAACTCCTAACAACCCTTTGGCTGAACCCTTTGGCCTAACCCTAGGGACCTGACTCTGTGACCCGTATGCAAGCAGGCCCAGCAGGTGCAGGCCATGACCCACACACCAGTCTCTTCTTGCACTTTTCTTCAGTCTCCTCAGCTGTTTATACTAGAAAGGATCTGACAGGAATACTCACCTGATGGACCTCCTAGGAAGGTGCTATCTTCCAACAAATGCTCCTTTCTATGACCACCCAACAGCTTTTTCCTGAAAGAGCAGAGCTCTACCAGCTATGTTCCCAGAATGTTCTAAACCCAAGTTTCCACTCTGATTTTAAGTACATGTTCATTTTAAGAGGTGCCATGTATGAAGTGCTATAGCCTAACACTGAGGCTTTTGTGTAGCAATCATCAACCAAATAGTCTGTATTTACTCCTTCCTTGTCATGGATGAAAGGACTATTTTGAATCTTTGCAATGGTTCCCTCATTTCAAACTTAGATCTTCAAATGCATAATGGAGACAGTAAGCTGTCGATGTCCGCTCCCGGCCGGCAGGAAGGACACACGACAAAGTCTGGTAGTGGACAACCTTTTCTTTTTATTTTCCTTCTCCGTACAGCCTGCCCTGGGTTCTCCCAGCTGAAGCCTCCTCTGGTCCGCTCCCCGCGGCTCCTTTTGTGCTTTAGTCTGCCCCAAAGCCTCTACCGGTCCGCTCTCCGCGGCTCCTTTTGGGCTTTTACTTTTGGGCTTTTCTCTGGCTTCTTCTTCCGCCCAGGGGTGGCACCGGTATATATACGGGTACAGTGTCCAATCATGTTAAAGTAAGCAAGGCAAGCTGATTGGCTAACATCATCAGTTGCCAGGCAGACTATATTGTTGAGCGGGTTGTTTACGCGGTAAGCAGGAAACTAACATATTTGATGGGAGGGGTAATCTACCCCAGGCTTTGCTCTTTACCACAGGCCGCACGTCCGCCAAGTGAGGCGACCGGGCTCGGGGCTGCGGCTCCCAACAGTAAGCTCGCCAGTCTCCAAGTGCACCCATGGGTATTAAATTTTAACCCAGCATGAGTGGCACTAATAGAGGGCCAAATTCCATGTCAAACCCTATGTATACACTGTCTTTTGGGGCACAGCCTCCTTGCATAGCTGCTCTCCTGCACATTCTGCTCCAATACTGGCATGTGCCTTGATATTGTACACCAGGGATTTAGGGAACATACTTGTTGCTAAAAATGAATGGGTGTCATGTATCACAGAAGCAGATGGCTCTTCAATTAATTGGGGGAAAAATGATGCTATTTGCTGAAAAGAAACATCAGGTTCTTTGTTGCAGGGAGTTCACAGAAAATAGAGAAAACTCAGCCTCTTTAAAGGAAGCCATGGACATAATTTTGGCACAATATAATCCAAAGATCCCAGCTTTAAAAGTGTTGTTTTAAGGACACTGTAATAGGCCATGTGTATGGGGACACAGGTGCTTGGTCACTTTGGAATCTTAATTGAGGTCTAAATTCAGAAACCTGACACTGACAGAAAAAGAACTCTGTCATCCTCAGTTATTATTTGGAAAACATCATACTCTCTCTCTCTGAGATTTACAGCTTGAAGAAACACAATTCCTTAGGAACTAGGGAATTCCCTAGGAGCTAGGGAATTCATTTCTTCCTACAAAACAAAGGTCTCCAACAAATATCCTTGATGCCACTCGTTCTGATCTACTTTTATCTCATTTTCAGGAGCAAGAGTAAATTGAAAGCCCTGAAAATAAACTACTAAGTTATTCACTATACTGCTGTTCTCCTAATTTTCCTGGTATCTTGCCAACTAATAAACAGGGAATGTGTGTTTTCAAATTCTATGATTTTTTTCACCACTTGATACTGACATATTAGCTATTGCTTTATGATTTAGCTGACTAACAGTGATTGAGTTCACTATTTTAACTCATACACATGACTTAATTTTGAGTTCTTTTAATAACCTTAAATACATGAAAAACAAATAGAATGAGCTGATAATTCTGCACAATAAAATACACTTCACATATTTAGCTATCATGCTGTGGAATAACTCCACAATGTCAAGTAGCACACAATTAGTAAAGCTGTAGGGGGAGGAAAAGGAGTGTTTTGATCCTGAAGAATTTTGATCCTAATCAGATTGAAATTTCAACGTTCTTGTAGTGCTTAATATCTTCAATCACACACACACACACACACACACACACACACACACACACAAATCAAACTGATTCCAATGTCAGGTTTTGCATTCTGTGACTGAAATAAAATGCTAAAATATACAAATGCATCTCGCTTTGTACAATAAACATTAACATCATTATAAAGTAAGATTGAGTCTAAAATTGTGTGATGGAATGTCTGATGTTTACTTAATTCTCAAACCAAAGCAAGCCCAGTAACAAAATGACAGAGCATGTAATAAGACTCGGTTGTGTAAACACTGGAAGAAAAGGCACAAAGCCAGCACAGCATCTCGCTTGTCCAAAGCCCTAGGCTATTACTGAAGGCTGCCTCAACTCTGCCTTCTTGGCAGGATAAGGTCATGGTGACATAGCATCAGTTCAAGAATAAGATAGAATTCTAAAACAAAGAGATAGTTAAAAAATAAACCACATTAACTATTTAGCTTTTCTCCTGGAGCTATTGGCACAATTCCTGGTTCTGCCCATGAAAGACAGGTTTGGGCATCTGATCATGCTCCTGATATTTTGATGTATGTCTTACTCCAGTGCATGGCTAAAATTTAAAGAAAAAACACTCACCAGCCTTTAGTAACTGAAAAGACTATCTTTATCACTGGTTCTTTTTTCATAGCACAGGCATCTGTAAATCAATACATGAATTTGTCTCTAACATAGGAAAAACAAAGAGGAATTTCAGCTGCACCTGTGTTTGACAACTCTGACAACCAAACCAAGAATCTGGGTGCCAGTGTGCTAACTTTTGAGGTCTCCATAAAGGAGTTCTACAGAAACTGTCACTAAGAATCACATTGTTGGTGCCAACATGCTGGGCTAGTAAAACTATACTAGAACTCTAAAAACAACAGTTTCAGGATTGTTTCTCTCAGGCTGTGACCAAAGACCTCTGCTATTTCTTTTCATTAAGCCCAGTGTCATTGATTCTTCAGGCCAAATTGCTCAAGTCAGTATTTGGTTCCGAATTTTAAACCACTCACATCTGTAGTTATTTGGACACCTTGCCCTCACATCCTTCTCCAGTCCTCTTGCTCAGGAGATGCTGACCTGAAGGTGACCAGCCCTGTCTCCTACAGCCACACACGACAGTTACCCAGGGTTTCTGTGTTGCCTGAACTCATGAGAGAGGTGACAGTACAATCATTTGCCACTCTACCTCTGCCTATAACCTGAAAAATAGAATGCTGAGCCAAACACACCAACATGCATTGCACTGCTCTTTATTCTCAGTTAATCCAACCTTTTGTCTGTAATAGGAGCTGAGTTAGTCTTGACACATCCCTAGGGCTCTTCCTGGGTCAAATCAGCAACGATTGTCTGAAACCTTCAAGTGCTCTAGGGAGAAACTTCCTTCCCTCTTGTAGCATTTTCCCCCTGCTGGGTTTAAGGCTATTGGACTTTAAAAAAGGGGAACCATGGGGTATGGGTGTGGTGGTATTTTTCCCTTCCTCACATCTTGCCCAGAATGAGAGAATTCTAAAATATCCTAGAGAGGGTGAAGGACTTCCAGATTGTCTAGGAATCCAAGTGGACATAAAAACCCGTGGTCTACCCAATATACTTGAGGTTGGGTGTTTAAAAAACATACAGTAGTCTAAGTGTTTATTTCAGTTTATTTGATTACAAACTTCTATACTTCTTAACACAACTAATATACAGCTACCTGGCGTAATGCATTGCATGCTGTTTTGTATCAATAACCCCTACACTTCCCTCCTGAAGGCGTCTCACCGCCAAATGCAAGCAGACTGCTTAATGCAGGACTAATTAGTATATCCCCTTCCAGTCTTCAAGCCCTCCATTGTAATTCCTTCCCAGCTCATTTTTTTCCACAACCGAGCATCAATCAAAGTAAGTGCCCTGCCTGCCTAGGCAACACAAGATGTCCTCCATGCATTTGTCATCTGCCACACAAACAAAGGGGGAATTTAATTGTTGATTTGGGTACGCAGCCATTGCACACTGTAAAGGAAGCTGCAAGGGAAGAAATAAAGTTTGAGCCAAATGCACATAGCATGGGGCTTTTTTTCTGCTTTCTGATCTTAGTCCTTGTTCTGGTGTGGTCTTCAGGGATTTAGGTGCAGCCTGCTCATTGGCTGGACTATTCCCCAAAGTGAATGAGTATTTTCACTTCTTCCAAATGAATATAAAAATTCCCATGGAAGGAAATGCATTTAATAGCTACCATGTTTGCTTTCTTCAGA